ATTATTTTAATAATTTTAATCCATCATATTAGTCGCCTTTAATATTCAACACATTTATAGATCACACAAAAGTCTTTGAGTTTTCCGAAACATCCCTTCTGATATTGTTGACACTGATCCAACAAAAACAGCGCTTAATAACATTTATAAAAATTGGCGGACCACCCATGATGATAATTCTTCAGCAAAAACTTCTTCAAATGATTTTAGGTTCATTTTACAAATTTATTAATTTTTGTATATACCTGATGCAAATGCTATGAGACTTCTTGATGTTCAAACGAGAGTGTACAACAAAGAGACCATTGACTTATAAGCGATGTGGGTGGACTGAGTTATCTTTTTGAAAAATATGCACTAAAGTTCTATTAGCAGCAGCAGCAGCAACAACAACAATTGACGTTAATATCCAGAATTAATTATATAACAATAACCCAATTGTTTCTAACTCATGGAATTTGGCACGGAAAATATTCTTTGTTTTTGTGTCTCATCATGAGTATAAACGAAACTTTAGGCTTTTTACACCCAATTAGAAAAAGGAGAGGCGGAGATCAACCTACAAGCCTTATATCTGTCAATTCAACATAAACCTTTATAATTTAATTTATATTCTGTTTTTTTTTCTATATGGGATTTTTGAAACGTCAAATATTTTGTATTAATATTGACTCGTTGTTTTGCAAAATTTTCAAAAGGTTTTTCATATTCATAGCCATTTTTATAGTATTTATTACTTGGGTTTCAAAAAAACGCTCCAGTTGATCCGCTGAATCATAAGTTAGTATTTGGATTATCTGGAACGGGATTTTTTTCGACAACAATTTTTACACTTTTATTTATAAGAAAAGATAGAAAAAAAAGGGGGTGAAGAAATGAATAATTTTGAATTTTAAATGTTGAGAATGTGTTGAATTGATGGATGTATTCTTCATCGTTAAAATAAAAAGTTTTTTTTAAGTTTATAACTTTTCAATCCTTTTTACGTATTATTATTATTTCAATAAAGTTTTGAATTATTGTCCAAAGTATTGTTGATTTTTAATTTGTAAAGGTACATAATAATAATATGTTAATTATATAAAATTCATTCATTCCTATATGTATATATATTAATTATTAAAATAATTATTGATTCCCAATTACATTTATTATTATTATTATTATTATTATTATAGAATGTTTTCGGTTTAGATTTTGAATTTCGGTTTTTGAACCGAAACCGAAAGTGTTTCGGTAGCTTGAAATAGTTTCGGTGAACATCCCTAGTGTTTATCAAAGGGCCGGTTATAGTGTTTGTTTAAATTATTTCTAAAAACAAATAATTTAATAAAAGATTCATCTAAAACCAATAAAGATTTGATTTAATCATTCAAATAACGCCTTTAATTTTATATAATTTCCTGTTTGTTTTCGGAAAGAAGGCTTTTCTTTGTAATTTGATCGGTATATTAGAATTAAATTTGAGAAGCAGAATAAGCACAGCATAATTTTATACTTTAATTTATATATTTTTTACAGAGAGAAAGTAAATGCGCGAATAATTAAATATGGAGATTAAAGAAAAGTTCAAGTTAGGTGGTAGTATTGTCTTTATTAGTTCAACTAATAATGATTGAATGCAAAATGAAATAATAATAGAATAGTAATAAATCTAAATACTAATAAATAGTTTATATCTAAAATGCGTAATTATATAATTAATAATATATTTATTGACACCGGAAGATGCCTATAGTACATATCCCACTCTTGCATGCAGCATTCCCAGGGCAAATAGCTCCAGGAGGACGATCATCAGAAATTTGGCATTTGAGGGTATCACTTCCAGCAATACGACAAATAGAAGTACTGCAATCAATGTCTTGGTCGATGCCGGTGCATTTTGCTCCCCTACCAATTCGGCAAAAGCTAGCAACGCATACTTCACCAGGAGAACATATACCATTAAGACCACAATTATCACCGGGATTTGCGCTAACAAAGACGCTAGAGAAGAGAGCTGCGAAAAGCACAATTAAAATAGCTTGTTTCATTGTTGAAAATTTAGTGTGTGATTAGTATTTTATATATTTTTATTTTAGTTATTGTTTGGACAATTTGGATTAAATTGATTTTTGCATTAGAAATTGGAAGTTGATGAGAATTTGTGTGCTTATATAGATATTTTGAATCCTAACAAATTATTAAATTCATTTAATCCATCTTAAGGTTCTTCCCAAAACCCGTTTAGCCTGATGCCGAAAGGCAAAACTTCCTACATACTTTCGAAATGCAGAAACTCCCTAGTTTCGACAAGAAACCTTGAATACAGGCAACATTATACATACACGCCTTTTAGACCTTCGCTTATTAATGTTTCATATTCGTTGTAAAAAATGAGTGGTGCAACTATAATAAATTTCGACATTTCACTTACTATAATTGTCATCATTATTTTTTTTCCAGTTAAAAAATTTGGCAAAATTTTAAAATTTAATAAATAATAAATAATTGTTTTAACCGGTTAAAAACAAACCTAGACCTTCGCTTATTAATGTTTCATCAAATATTCGTTGTAAAAAATGAGTGGTGCAACTATAATAAATTTTGACATTTCACTTACTATAATTGTCATCATTATTTTTTTTCCAGTTAAAAAATTTGGCAAGATTTTAAAATTTAATAAATAATAACTAGATGAATGCTTTATGACAGTGACTTCGTCACTGGTGTTACTTGTTATTTACTGTTTTAAAGTCTCTATTCAA